ACTTTATGGAAGATTTTATGGATTAAATTTTACGTATTATACTTGAATAAATACAATATCTTGATTTCACTTCCTTCCTTTCAGTGCCCCACGTTTAAACATTTTATTTGGAAGGTCGTGTCAGTGAACCTCTCTCTGAGGGATCTGGTCTTGGCCTGAATCACCCCCAAGTCCCACAGCGCCAGGTTCCTGCGGTGGTTTTCCTGTTTGTGGCCGTAAACTTCAATAGCAACAGCGCCGTCAGCCAGGAACTCCAGCAGGTCCTCTGATATTGGAACAGACAGCTCCTGAGGACAGAAAGCTAGGATGAAAAGTTCAGTTCAAACCCTTTATTTGTTTGTTTTATTTATGTTGACTCCACCTTGGTGTTGTCAAAGACCACAGTGCACTGGGGGTCTCTGGAAGCGGAGGATGAGCTGGACGTTGCCACCTCTGGAGCGGTGAAGACGGGCTCCTCCAGCCCCCAGAAGAGATACTGACAGAAAACAAAGTTGGAAAGGTGGCGAGGAAGACCGGTAGCCTGGAGGATTTTCACCTGGCAGAGACACATAGAAGCAAAATAACACATTTTTAAAAGTATTCTAATTTCAGATCATTTAAATCCCAGGATCTAACATTACTGATTGCTTCATATTAACTACAATCTGTGTCCTCATTTATCCATGGACTATTTCGCAGATACCGTTTAGCGCGCCCACTGGCGCTCAATGGTTTGTGGGATTGTTTGGGGGCAAACAAAAGAAAAGTAAACGATGGGACGGGTTATAAAGGTTTAAAGTTTGGATTGTGGCACATTTTAAAATGTTTATTTTGGTTCGTGAAGTACCAACTTCTAATCAGAAAAAGGACAAACTCGTGCAGAACTTTTACCTGCTCAAATGTTGGAATTAGTGCCTAAAATAGCAACCAGGAGATGCAAAACAGAAGTAAGGTTACAATACTGTGCAATATTTTCACTCTTAATATAATGTAATAATTATTATATATTATACTACATATAATATGGCACTATATTAAATATTACCAGAGAAAATCCCAGTATATAGTGATCATATTAACAGCATTATGACCAGTGGGGCTGGGTGATAAACACTTAATCTAAATATAATCTTGAGGGAGGGTGACCTATGATTAGTATTATGATTAGAGTATAAAACGTCCTTTTAGCCACACATCAAATTTGGCTAAAATTTTAATTCAAAATACGTATTTTTGTTTTAACGGTGGTAAATGCATTTGCTATTGTGATCTGTAGCTTTCTGTGTGGTGTATATTAGTGTTAATAAATAAACTGTACACCATTATATCGTCAAGGTTTTTTTAGATAGTCCATTCCTATATTTGTGATATTAAGTTGTCAAAATGATCTGTAGTCAGGAAATGTGATATGCAGCCCAGATCGCTGTAAGCCGCGCAAACATATTTAGCACAAGATCTACTAGACCAAGAGGTGACAATCTTGTGTTTTCATATTCTTAATATTTAAACTTGTTTTCATGTACAGTATCTGTGATCATTATTGCACATATACACAGGTAAAACAAAGTACACCACCCATTTTCAGTCTTTTAATTCACACACCGACAGCGGATGCCCCCAAACTGGACCATGATGCTTAGCGCTAGGCAAAGATGGCGGTCTCTGCAAAATAGTCCATTCACACAGCACTCTATTAGGTCTCTACAAAGCTAACATGTACAATCATCTATGGAGACTAATCAGTGCCCATCACATTCATACACTGATGGGACACACATCAGAGGCATTAGGGGTGAAGTGTCTTGCCCAATGACAYAACAACTGAGACAGCTGGAAAGGGAATGAACCAGCAACCTACCAGTTCTGCCCCTCACTCACAAGAATCTAAAAGGGCCTAAAAGACCACCATAAGAACAAACTACAACACCCCCCCCTCCATTTTTTATTCTACTCATCATTTTTTTACTACTTCCCTAACTGCCCTTGTCTTCAGCAGCAGCTGCCACATACAGGTCATCATCCAGGAATCATGGACAGATTAAGGTTCTGATTGTCAGATGTTTTGCTAAACATATTTATTTTTTACTTTTATCATTTAGATCTGAGAGGGAATAAAAAGAGCAAACAGAATGTGTTTCCCCTCACCACACAGTCCAGTCTGCGCTCCTGAGACTCTCCATTTGCATCGATCAGCTGCAAGTCAGGACGTCCCACGCCTTCATACTCAGAGCTCTCTGTGCCTCGCCACACCTCCACATGCAGACGACCAGCAACCTAACACACACACACACACACACACACACACACACACACGTCAGAACATTTTCTAATTTCAATTAAGACATTTTAAATAGGGAAGTCCGATAATATCGGCCTACAAATATTATCGGTCAGATATTAGCATAAAAATATAAAATCTCTACGTATCGGTATCGGTTTTTATTCTGATAACAAAAACCTGACAAATTAACACCTGGATCTGTGTGTTCATAAATGCTTGTGGTTCAGAAACGTTCACCGGTGCGCACTTGATGACATCATCAAACTGGATTATCTCAGAGAGAGCACTATTGTTTGAGACAAAATGTTAAACATAAATTTGGCACTTTTTCCCTAACTTCAGTTAAATTGTTTTTATTTTTGTACAGAAAACGTTTACCTATGGAATGCATCCAGTGGGGTATCAGAAAGCAGGCATAATGTCCCTAATAGGAGATATGTGATGTCACCTTAATATCGGTTTGTAATATCAGTTAATATCGGAAATTAAGTGTTGAACGATATCGGCACAAAGTCAATATCAAGCATCTCTAATTTTAAATGTTTCAAAAGTGGGACAAGCAAAAAAATAAAAAATATACAATTTGTAAAACTTCTGGAATTTGCTTTCTGTGGAGCTCAAAAGGACAATGGTGAAAAAAATTAACTGAAAAAAAATAAAAATAAAAAAAAGATTGTGGACTTCTCACACATTATTAAACTTAGATATATTTTTAAATACAAAACAGAAATTTATTAGGTTGCTGAATGAGGGACAACAAGAAAATTATTAAATATGTTTATCAGATGCAAACCTATTAATTTATTATTATTAGAAATTATTTACATTTAAATTTTGATTTTTCTCAGACATTTTACTTTTTGCTGCCTTCTTCTTGGTTCTGTCTGTGGCTAAAACTGTGTTCTATTGGCCTGGTAAGATGGTCAAGTATTGACAATGCCGATGGCGTAATCACCATCTTAAAAGTTGGGGGGRGGTCACATTTTTTAAAGGTCTTTGTTTCTGCTTTGGCTGAAAAAAGTGGGGGGGACAGAGGGCACAGATATGGGAAGTGGGGGGACATGTCCCACCCCGTACCTATGGTGGTTACGGGTGACGTAAACGGCTCTGCGACACAGAGAGGGTCGCATAAATTGGGTGTCACAACACCTCTATAATGAAATTCGTTGCCAGTGTTTTTAATAAGCGATTCTTATCAATTTTATCGATTCGTTATTGCAGCCCTAGTATAAATGACCATAAACAAGCAGGAAACCAGGACTGGTGCGTTGTAACTAGCCACAAGCCGTTGGTGAGGTCGTACCTCTCCTTTCTGGTTGATGATGGGCACCGCGTACTGCAGTTTGACATCGTAGAACAAGCAGGCTAGGAAAACATTGGCGACACCAATCAGACTGTGGTTCTCATGCTCGTCAAAGAAAGGGTCGGCCCGTTTAAAATAGGACCTCATCACCTTAATCGGAGAGAAAGAAAGAATAACAAGTAAGTAGAGTTCTCTGAAATTTTTATGTATTTGTACAAAATGTATTTCAGCTGTTTATATTTTATTTCCACATTTTTTGCTCTAATTTCCTATTTTTGTCAGACACCATTTCTGCACTCACAGGATTGTCCTCATCAAAGTCTTTCCACTCCTGGTAGAGTTCTCTCATGTCCACCAAGCGGTTCTCCAGCTTCTCCAGAGCCCAGATCTGCTTCCCTTTCCCTTTACGGCGGACCTGGATGGCAGGTTCACTCAGAACCGCATCTCTCTGTGGAAACATGGAAACATCAGTTCTGTTTATTAACAGATGGTTTTCATTACAATGCACAGAGACATCTGCCACCATATGTATGCTATGGGCCCACATGGGCGCTTGCAGGTGCTAATTTAGTGAGAGTGTGCTGCACACAAAGTGTTTCACATTAAGTGAAACTAACTACACTAATCACAAAGTGGTAAATGCTAATTGGTAAGAGTTTTTCTGACAATTGCACACAATACAATTTTGCAGAAGCCTAGACATGAGCCAAACAAAAAAATATTTCTCCAACTCCAACCTGAGAATGGACATCATACCTCCAAACATCCCAGTAAACATAAATCTAACTCTGTAAAACATCACAGAAACTTCTACTTATTTTTGATGCTAATTCAAAATACACAACAACAGGGTTATAAAGAAACGAGTGAGAAAACTCAGCACTGTTTGAAGCTCTAAATGGTAAATGGACTGTACTTGTACAGCGTCTTTCTATCCATCCAGGACACTCAAAGCTCTTCACATTACAATCTGTGTCCTCATTTACTCATTCACACAGCACTCTATTAGGTCTCTACAAAGTTAACATGTACAATCAACTATGGAGACTAATCAGTTCCAATCACATTCATACACTGATGGGACACACATCAGAGGCATTAGGGRTGAAGTGTCTTGCCCAAGGACACAACTGAGACAGCTGGACGTGGGATCAAACTGGCGACCTTCCGGTTCCAGGACGACTCTACAGCTCATACTGTATATACCCCACAGTAGAAACAAAGTTTAAAGAGTAACTAAAACAAAAATCAACTTTTTTTGCAAATATACTGTCTAAATTGTGCATTAAGGGTACTATATTTATATTTCTGTGCAAATGTTAATATTTTTGTGTAAATTTATTTAACTGTGCAATATCTGGTCCAAAACCATCTAAGAGCTGCCCTCTGTGGGTTGAACGGTGGCTACTGCAGTTGAATTTTCCTATTGGTTTAAATGGTACATGCTTACATCACAGCTCTTAGTTTGGATTTAAAAGCCTTTCACTCAGAGACACCCTGCAGACAGTCTGGGGCAAGGGCGGAGTGGGTAATCGGGACAATTGGGACGAATCCCGCTGGGCCGGACCATTAATGGTCCGGTCCGATGGGCGCAGTTAGTACGAGGATGGTAGGACGAAAAAATCTCAAATCAAAAGTGATGATGAACTTCTGTTCACTGACGCTCCCACAGAGCTGCAGCAGCAAAGAGCCCCCCCCACCCCCCTCCCTTTTTCACACACAGAGCTGGAGGAGCAAAGACAGCCCGCTCCTCCCTCCCTTCCTCCTTGTGAC